TTAGTGAGAAACAATGAGGTTATAAGTGAGAAACAATGAGGTTATAAGAGAGAGACAATGTGGCAAGACGTGCATCCAAATGAGAGAGAGAGAGACCATGAAGTTAGATGTTTCTTCTTATATTAACTAACGTACTCTACGATTAGCTCAGTGAATAATTTAAAAATAACATAGACCCGGCTAGAACAAGCGGAGTGATACAAAATTGTGAAAGGGCGTTCCTCTAGCGATACCAGTACAATATCTCACAGTTCTCAAGATCATCAGATTTGAGGACCAGAACGAACTGTTGTATAATATTATATATGTACTTAGGTCACTTATGTGTTCGCTTAGGTCTATTTTTATTACCACAAAAAAAATGATTATAATTATCCGATTACTCGATTGATTGTCCGAATAATCGACAGATTACTCGATTACCAAAATAATCATTAGTGACATCCCTACTTACATCTTTACTTTATTATTTTCAGTAATTCTATAGCCTTTAATTTGCTTATAAACTGGTAATGAAGCTTATCCTGAATAGAAATATCAAAGTAGGTCGTGTAACAGTATTAGATGTCATTTATTTGTCTTTCAGGCTTTCATTGTCTCATTCACATCTGACATGATCCCTCGGCTGGTGTATAAGTACGCGTATCACCTGGGTTCTGAGAGCACGATGGAAGGATACATCAACAACAGCCTTTCAGTCTTCAACATCTCAAAGTTCCAACCGGAAAACCGTCCAGACGACGGCGAAAACCCGGACTGGTTCTACAGCTCCAACATCACCACCTGCAGGTACGGTTGTGTATGTTTTGACTGTATCTTTTAATTGACAGATTTATTGTGACACTGGTAAATGTATAATACACATGAATGCTGTGTGGATGCTGTAGGTACCGTGACTACCGCTACCCTCCAGGACATGAGAAGCAGTACACTCATACCATGCAGTTCTGGCACATTCTCGCTGCCAAATTAGCCTTTATCATCATTATGGAGGTATGAGCTCTTAAATTATCTTCATTCCTGTGTCAAAAACAAAGCAACTATAGCATGCTTTAAAATAATATACATACTTACTAACTGAATTGAAAATGTATTAGAAATGTATTATAAAATGAAAATGTTTTTGTTTAAATTTAAAATAAATGCAGTTAATTGAACTTGAACCTCTTAAGTAGGACTGAAATACTTCTTTATATGTAATTTCATAATTACTTTTGAAACATGCATTTAAATATTGCCCATTTGCCCAAATTATGCAGTTTTAATTTAGTACATTTAAAATGTGATAACTTCAAATGTAATATCAAATACAATACAGTTAAAATTATAAAGGTTTGCATTTAGTATATTAGTAAACATTGCAAAATAAGTGCCCTTTAAAGCATGATAAAATATCAATAGCATCGTGGGACCATGCCGACATACGGTGCAGTTACGCTATGGGCGTCCCAAGTTCGAATCCCGGCTCGAGGACCTTTCCCGATCACGCCCCCCTCTCTTCTCCGACTTCGCTTCCTGTCACGTTGACACTGTCCTACGATAATAAAGTGAAAATATGATAAAAAATAAAGATCTTTTTTTAAAAAACATCAGTAAAATAATGAGTTAATTGTAAAATATTTCATTTGAAATTGCAACTTGATCTTTTCAAAATTGTATCCAAGTATGTTAAGAAACATAGAAACAGTCATAGTTAAGTACACTTAAGTGGTCTTTTATTTTGTTAATATTATATTATCTGCAAGTAGTTGTTTTAAAAATTTGCTTTTAAGATTTGAAATACACTACAAGTGCAGTTAGTTCAGAGTTTAATTAATGTTAACAGAATAAACTTTAAAATGTAAAAAAAATGTAATATTTGTAATAGTAAATGTTGAAAAAATATATATATATAAAATATATATAAATATATAAAACTGCACATTTTAGAGTGGCCTTTTATTGTGGCCAGCCTAAGGCACACCTGTGCAATAATCATGCTGTCTAATCAGTATCTTGATATGCCACACCTGTGAGGTGGATGGATTATCTCGGCAAAGCAGAAGTGCTCACTAACACAGATTTAGACAGATTTGTGAACAATATTTGAGAGAAATAGGCCTTTTGTGTACATAGAAAAAGTCTTAGATTTTTGAGTTCAGCTCATGAAAAATGGGGGCAAAAACAGAAGTGTTGCGTTTATAATTTTGTTCAGTATATATAATGTCACATACTGGGCAAAAGCACAGTGCTGTGTCTAGGAGAACTTGCAGGTATCACAAACACCTGACTGACGCGTCACGTTCAACTCGAGCGGCAGTCTAAAGTAGTTGATTTAATCACCAAACAGGCAAAAGTTTACTTCAAGAATGAACAATGTGACATAGATTAGTTTGAATTTCGGTCAGAAAAAAATCAGAGCAAACCGCAAAAGAAAGCACAATCTATATTATAGCTCTCTATAAAAAGCATTCAGACTTTTAGAGCCACAGAAAGACAAACGTTTTGCTGAAAAATGCACAATACACAATTTTACATTATCATGTGTCAAAACAAACAGCACATGCTGTTCATCATTTCCACCTCGTACTGTATAATGACAGCAGACCCTTCTCAGCCGCTCCAGCAAAGGAAGCAACCCGGAAAACTATCGGCATGGATTTTTGCAGATAGCCGATAATTCCGGCAATCAACTATCAGTGCCGATTAATCGGCAAAACCAACTCATCGGTCGCCCTCTATTTAAAATAGTAATAATAATATGATAAAGAAGTTACACCCTGACTAATTGCTTCATTAATTCTATAAATTTATCGGTTTATAACATTTTGATCTACAATACATTTATGTCATCAGTGCTGAAATAAGTACTAAACTTGTCCTAATACTCTTCTTTTCTCCAGCATGTGGTGTTTGTGGTGAAGTTCTTTGTGGCGTGGTTGATCCCCGACGTGCCGTCAGATGTGAAAGCCCGTATAAAGCGCGAGCGCTACCTCATCCAGGAGTACCTGCACAACTACGAGCTGGAAAAACTCAAAATCCAGCTCAGCCAGAACGGCCCGAACATCGAGCAGTGCACGTGTCCCGCTACAGCCGCCACACCAGTGAAGCTGGAGGTGTTTTCAGACTGTATGAGCTAACACAGGCCTGACCTCTCCTGACCTTGACACTAACACATGAAAGCTTTCACTCAGCCCATGTCTCAAACCAGTCCTCTCTATTTCAACACAAAATCACACGCCACTGGTTCCTAATATCTCACAGTTTATGTTGGATAGTCTTTTCACACCACATCCACTGTTTTGGGGTTTTCCTCAACCATGATATGTTACCCAGAGCCCTCATTTTCCCCAGGGAGATATGCCTACATAAACAAAAGTTTGTATAATATAACAAGATTTATGAAGTATGATAATGTTTAAATGTATTTAGATCTACCTAAAGCCATATGAGCTGTAACTCAGTTTCTGTCTATGCAGAATGACACTTGCACTCTTCAAGAACAATTAGGTTTTCTCGTGCTTTCTACATTATTGTTCTCTGTTAGTGTTGCCGATGTCTCTATAAGACACTACAAACATAAATACAGACTGTTTACGATCTGTATGAAACACTGTGTGAAAGTCTGGCAGCTGAAATGTCGGTCAAAACATCAATCTTAGATTTCAGCCCAAAACTAAACTGGGTGAAATATAAACTGGACGTTTCAGACGTTTATTATCGCATAGATGAGTGTCTCTTTCACACAGCGTCAAAATACAAGTACTCAGTGACAAACTTTATTTGTTTAGAATGCCTTTAAGCTACCAAAGATAAAAAGCCTTAACACCATAGACGTATGCATGGATTCTTTACATTATAAATATTAAACACTTCTATTTACTGTATGTTCTGTGTTCATGTATAAAGAAATTCTAAAAAGGGTTTTCAGGAAAAATAGTTATTTTTTTTTCAATTACATACTAGCATGTTTCTTTTTTTTTTTAGTAAATTTAGAGTATTTTCTTTTTTTATCCAAATTGTACAATATTTAAGACAAACTGGCACTATTATTTTGCAGTATTATTTCATAGCTTGATGCAGCACCAATACTGATTTTTAAAGCATCCTATAATGCTAGATTTATTTTATTTGCTGGAAATTGTATGCAAAAAAAAAAAAAAAGAGAGACTCTATGCCAAACATGAGTAGATACATATATAAATATGCACACTAACGACACTCTTGCTGTAGCTGTTCTGTTCGGGTGATAGTTACAGATAATCTGCACTTTAAAGCTTTACGTTGGTGAACAGGAAACAATCTTCTCAAAGCCAAAGTTGCTCTGGTGATTTGAATGGCATAGCTAATATATGTGCCTTTATCAAAATGCAAACTCCATGCTGAGTGTATATTTGTGCTTCCTTTCCAATTGATTTACTGTGTTTTCCTGGTCAGAAGGCCAGTGTCACTTTGAGTTTGTCTTGCACAAAGCACTTAATGAGGAGTAATTTATCTCAGTGTTATTGAAGGAAGATGTGTGACTAACAACCCTTTGAATCTGCAAAATTATGTGATTCATTTAAAATATGCCAATCTGATCATTCATTTGGCATTGGACTACTTCAAATCAAAAAGTTATAATGAGGACCATGAACAGCTGACAGTTTAACATGTATATATGCTAATGATGATGAGAAACATATGCATTTGCTGTTATTTGTGACTTGAATATTTAAGTTGGAAATCATGATATTTTGTGAAAATATTTAGTTTTCAGTCTCTGGTTCAAATATGAAGAATTTAGACACTGTTTCACATAATAAGAACTGTTATTCATTAAAATGTATGCTGTTTGAATATTTCACTGTTGGTTTATGTAGCTGATAATCTGCAAGCTGTGCTATGAGGTGAAAAGCCATTTATCAGTTAAACATTATCTGTCCTTTTTGACATTTCGGTTCTAGAGCTGTTCTGGGTGATCAAATGATCAATGATTATGCCTTAACATTTATCTGTATTTTTGTTTTTGTTTTCTTTACAATTACTGTTTTAAGTTGATGTTATGCCTATTTTTATGCATGGTTATTTTGGATGTGGATATGAATCCAAGTGTGTTTTTCTGTACTGCTAATGTACCAGAAATGTACTCCGTTTTTCATACTTTAGTCAAAAGTCAAACTGTTGTCACCCAAATAAACTATTGGATACACCAGAGACACTCAAGTGTTTAATTGTTCTGGACATTGCTTTGTTATATTCTTATGTCAATTTCAGGGGTTTTGAGAGATAACTATTTCATATACATGATAAAGTTAGCTTCATAGCTTCCTAGCTCCTTAAGACTGATGGGTCAGTACTGCGCATGTGATTTATGACTTTTTCTACACTGGTCAGGCACAGCATTAAAACCACCTTCCCAATAATGTGTAGGTTTCCCTTGTGCTGCTAAAACAGCTCTGATTCATTGAAACATCAACTCCACAACACCTCTGAATGTGTCCTGTGGTCTTGACACCCAAATATTAACAGGAGATACTTTTAAGTCCTGCAAGCTGAGGTGGATCTCTATGGATTAGGTTTGTTGGTCCAGCAGACCCTACAGTTCCCTGTGTCGTCACTACGAGTTATGTTGTGACAACATTAGGGGTTTACTGATTTTAAGAGAAAACACCAATGAAATTTGGCTAGTGGATTTTGCATGCTGAGCCACTCCCCGTGCATACAGGTATATAAGGTGACAGGTGCATCCACTCATTCAGATTTTTGCTTTGGAGCCAAGTGGGTAAATTTGGTTCATCTCCACATAGCTGATCGTCTCAGAGCTGGAAAGAGAAGAGGCTGTTCTTGGTTGGCATTACAGTGCAAACAGCAGTGTGCCTGTTAATTCAGCGATTCCCCTGAGCACTTCAACTAAAAGAGCAGTTTCTCTAAAAGAGCAAATCGTGGACAGCTCGAGTCTTTTCAAAGATGCCGCTCTGTCCATGTCTTCTTGGTTGTGGTCGTTTCCTATCCTCTGATGACGGCCACGAGCATTGTCTTCTGTGTCTGGGCATCAAACATGCTGAAGACGCATTTGTGGATGGCTCATGCCCTGCATTACGTGCATGTCTCTGCTTTCGTAAGTAGGAGACTCCTCTGTCACTACCCGTTCCGGTTTCTCTGCCACGAGCAGAGGACTGCCAGCTAGTGCTCTGGGAGATTGAGGGTTACAATAAGAGCCTCTCTGCTGGGCCAGTCTCCACAGACCTCTTAGTCCTCCCCCTGCGCTTGTTCTATGCTGCTCCCAGATAATTCTGTTTGCCCACTTCACAGTGGCCCCAGTGCTTCATTCGGTGCACTGCCTGAGGATCAGATGTCAATAGCAGCATTGGGGGATGGCTATCGTCCTCCGAAGTTGAAGATTCAGTGGGGCTGCCCCCCTCGGGTGTTGTCGCCACTGCCAAATCAGACCCAGATTTGACGACCATGCTTGCCCTGGCAGGAGGTGTGCAATCTGAAGTCCTCACGGCTGGATGATTGGTTTCTCGGTGAAGGCCGTGGCTCTCGACCACGCTCAGCCTCAGTTCCTTTCTTTCCAGAGGTGCATGAGGAAGTCACGAAGTCGTGGATGGCCACTTTTATGGTCAGAAACCACTCGTCTCCTTCCTCCGTCCTCACTACCCTCAATGGCGGGGCAGCTAAGGGGTACATTGACATTCCCCAGGTGGAGAGAGCGGTTGCAGTGCACCTGTGCCCTCAAAACACTGCCACTTTTAGAAATCGTCCTCGTTTCCCTTCCAAAAGCTGTAAGCTGCCAGCGGCTCTCACTGTGGATCAGGCCGCCTCTGCCCTGCATTTCATGGCGATCCTGCAGGTCCACCAAGCCAAGGCACTAAAACAAATGCACAAGGATAGTACTGACCCGAGGTTGATGCAGGAGCTGCGCACAGCGACTGACTTCGCTCTACGGGTGACGAAAGTCACGGTGTGATCCCTCAGGAAGACAGCATCCAAGAGCGACATCTCTGGCTCAACCTGGTTGAGATGAGAGTTGTTGACAAAGTGCACTTTCTTGATGCTCCCATCTCCCAGGCTGGCCTGTTCAGCAACACTGTCGAGGACTTTTGCCCAGCATTTTTCGGCAGTACAGAAGCAGTACAGAAGTACCCCTGTGTCCCAGCCAGCCCCTAGGTCTGCTAAAAAGTCGACGAAGTGGCCCTGACACTGGCAACCCAGAGATGTGGGAAGCTGCTCTTTCTCTGGAGGTGGCTAGGACAGCACCATTCCTTCCCCCGGGGGAGGGCTGGGCGGAGAATCTTTAGTTCTGTAAAAAAAATAAGAGCAGTTTCCTTTTCCTCTGGGTTACCAGGCTCGTGGGTTGACAGTGAGCAATGCACTGCCTCCTCATTCTGTGGCCAAGAGATTGCAGATTAGGGACGCAACGCCTCCCCAAACATCTCTGGCCGGTCCCTCCAGGGACATGGGCAGTTCTGCCGTGATGAGCCAGAATGTGATGCCAGCATGACTCTTCACCGCTGCACTACCGCGGATATGTCAATTGTCTCTTTGGTGACACTCGCACGGGGTGTGGCTTGCGCTACCCAGCCCATTCTGCTGGCTCATTCGGACAGTTTGACTTGGCTACACGATTCAGTTTGCCAGGCGACAAACGGGCATGGCAGTACAGGGTCCTCCCCTTCGGGATATTCCTGTCACCCCATGTCTTTATGACGATCGTGGAGGGCGCCCTTGCCCCATAATGGGAAGTGGGCAACATGATCCTCAACTACCTCGATGACTGGCTTATGGCTCAGTCTCAGGAACAGTTGTGCGATCACAGGGACCTGGTGCTCCGGCACCTCCGCCAGTTGGGGCTTCAGGTCAACTGGGAAAAAGAGCAAGCTCTCCACTGTGCAGAGAATAACATTTCTCTGTAAGGACTTAGACTCGTGAGCATGACCAAACGAGTTACTTGAGAGGCAGGACGGTGTTTCTAATAAAACACATTCAAAGGCTCCTGGGGCATATGGCATCCACAGCTGCAGTCACACCATTCAGTTTGCTTCATATGAGACCACTTCAGCACTGGTTACATTCCTGAGTCCCAAGATGGGCATGGTGCCGTGACACACAAAGCATGACCGTCATGCCGATGTGTTGCTGCATGTTCAGCCCCTGGGCAGACCTTACTACGGACTGGGGTGCCCTTAGAACAGGTGTTCCAGTATGTCGTTGTCACAACAGATGCCTTCAGGTCAGGCTTAGGCGTGACGTGCAATGGGCAGGCAGCCTACATGTTCAGCCCCTGGGCAGACCTTACTACGGACTGGGGTGTTCCAGTATGTCGTTGTCACAACAGATGCCTTCAGGTCAGGCTTAGGCGTGACGTGCAATGGGCAGGCAGCCTCGGGGTCCTGGACAGGGCATCGTCTGCTTTGGCACATCAACTGCCTGGAGTTGCTGGCAGTGCATCTAGCCATGTGGCAGTTCCAGCCGCTGCTGCTCGGCAAGCACGTGTTGGTCTGCACAGACAACACTGTGGCTGTTTCATACATCAACGAAACGCACATCACGATGCAGTGGACGGCCAGTCCGTGGGTAAGCATGACCTGATCGTTAGGTTCCTGAGGGGCGCCAGAAGGTTAAATCCTCCTAGGTCTGGTGCCCTCCTGGGATCTCTCTACCATCCTGGCTGGACTTCAGAGGGGTCCCTTTGAGCCGCTGGATTCAGTCTAG